ACGTGGAAAGCTGAGATCCAGGAAAGACTGCTGTGTCTAGGAAGGAACAAGTAAAATTCCATAGTCTACCCAGCCTGGGAAGTATCATCCTATTTGCTCCCTCTTTGTCTGTGGTACCTCATTACAGTTTATTTTCCTTGCGCTCTTGAACCTCTGCTTGTTCTGTTAAATGATAGCAGCAAAAATGGGGGAGGTATTTTGGTCTCAGTAGCCAGGTAATCAGACCTAGATTGAGAGTTTCCTTTTTTTTAAGCCTGGTTCGAATTCAACACCTCTATTTTTTTCCCTTTTTTTTAAAAATTGTACTTTAGATGAAGTTTTATAGAACAAATAGTTTCTCATTAAACAGTTAGCACACATATTGTTTTATGACAATGGTTAACAACCCCACGACATGTCAACACTGTCCCTTCTGAACCTTGGGTTCCCTATTACCAGCTTTCCTGTCCCCTCCTGCCTTCTAGTCCTTGTCCCTGGACTGTTGTGCCCCATTAGTCTTGTTTTGTTGTATGGGACTGTCTAATCTTTGGCTGAACGGTGAACCTCAGGAGTGACTTCATTACTGAGCTAAAAGTGTGTCTAGGGGCCATACCTCAGGGTTTCTCCAGTCTCTGTCAGGCCAGTAAATCTGGTCTTTTTTTGTGAGTCAGAATTTTTTTCTACATTTTTCTCCAGCTCTGTCCGGGACCCTCTGTTGTATTCCCTGTCAGAGCAGTCAGTGGGAGTAGCCGGGAACCATTTAGTTGTACTGGACTCAGTCTGGTGGAGGCCATGGTAGTTGTGGTCCATTAGTCCTTTGGAGTAATCTTTTCCTTGTATCTTGTTTTCTTAATTCTCTCTTGCTGCCAAAGGGATGAGACCAGCGGAGTATCTTAGACAGCTGCTCACAGGCTTTTAAGACCCCAGACACTACTCACCAAGGTAGAATGTAGAACATTTTCTTTATAAACTATGTTAAGCCAATTGAGCTAGGTGTTTGCCGAGACCATGGTCCCCACAGCCCTCCACCCAGTAATTCAGTCCTTCAGGGAGTTTGGATGTGTCTATGGAGCTTCCATGACTGTAGCAGTTTTTGGGCGGCGAAATGAACACAAAAGACAGACACACACAAAGACAAACAAGACTGCAGCCCCGAGGACTTGCAGTAGTTTATTTTTAAGGTCTCCGCCTGGGCATCATTCCAAATATCTGGTAAGTTGTTTTTCTCCTTCAAAGCACATCAAGACTTTTGTAAATATCCGAACTTATCTTTTAAGGCTCACAGATCAGCAAGTTCTCAGAGACTCGGTGCTCCCTCCCGTTTGCAGGTGGGAACGGCACGTCTGCGTGCAGGACGTGCAGTCCGAATCCCGGAGACCTTGAAATCAGCTCGGGAGTGTCCGCGTGCAGATCATTCCCAGGCTGATTATTTCCCACACATGACCTTTCCTTATACAAGTTGTGCTGGCTTCCCCAGTATTGTCAACATTTCTATTTTTATCGTCACCAACACCATTACCACCATGTCTATATTGTCATTATTTTCAATACTGTACCAAATGCCAAACAATATGTTGACATCTATTAACAGCATCATCATTACCACCATTACCACTACTACCATTGCCATCTCCACTCATTCTCACCATCACTACCACCACCACCACCTCCACCACCATCGCCGCCATCACCACCTTCACCACCACCTCCACCATGACCTTCACGACTGTCACCTCCACCACCACCTTCACCACATCACCGCCTTTACCACCATCACCACCATCACCACCATCACCTGCACCACCACCTCCACCGCCATCACCACCATCACCACCACCACCACCATCACCACCTTCACCACTGTCACCTCCACCACAACCATTACCACCATCTCCTCCACCACCACCTTCACCACCATCACCACCACCACCACCATGGCTACCGTGATTCATTCTCACCATTACCACCACTGCCACTTCTGCTGCCACCACCACTATACTCGTTCTTACCATTACAATCAGCATGGAGAAGACTTAGAGTTTGCTGAGGAGCTGTCTTCAAATGATTAAAAGGCCATGGAGAATAGTTAAAGTTACTCTGTATTGGTACAGAAAGTAGAGTTAGGAAAATGGACAAAAACTATAAGAAATTATAATTACATTTGAGTAAATGTAAATGAGGAGTCCCTGAGTGGCACAAATGGTTAAGTACTTGGCTTAACCTGAAATTATTACCTGAAAGGTTGGCAGCTCAAATCTACCCGGAGGCACCTCAGAAGAAAGGCTTGGTGATCTGCTTCTGAAAGATCACAGTCATTGAAAACCTTATGGAGTGCAATTCTACTCTGAAACATATGGGGTCGCCATGAGTTAGAATCTACTCGATGGCATCTGGTTTAAATGTAAGTGATGTTTTTCATGGAACTAGGAAAGACAAGAAGGCTAAGAAGTTTGAAGATAGAAGATGATAAGTTTAATTTGGGGCATATTGAGTTTATGTGTCTTTAATGACAGTCAGCTGAGGAGGTCCAGTAGGTGAATTCTGTCTTTGGAAATCCTTAATAGTGGCAATCTAAAGGTTTCCATAGAGGGAATCCATTTAGTATTAGGGAACTCATTTAACCCTGAAGTAGATGATTTCTTCTAAATATTTTTATTTTCTATGGTTTTAATCCTTCTATAATACTAGAATTCATTCTCTTTTAAAAATGCAAAACATTTTAGATCAGGGTGAAATTCTCGCTGACCATCATTCCCAGTCCCTGATCCTTTAACCACATTCACACAGGTAACCTTTTTTTTTTTTGTATAATTTTCTCACTTTTTAAAAAAATATTTAGAAACTGTATGGCATTGTATATTTTATGTGAATAGTATACTTTATGTATATTTCCACCCCTTGCTTTGTTTTCACTCAACAATAAATTTCTACAATGGTTAAGAGGATGGGCTTTGGAGCCAGGCTGCTGGTATTCAAATCACATCTTTGTCACTTGCTGGCTGGGGGCTTCCAGCCTAGTTGGGAGACTGCCATGCAAACAAACGTATTCAACCCAGTGGGGTCACCTTCGAGGGATGCTGTGTGTGAGCAAGGAGCAATGGGGCACAAAGGGGACGAGCAGAGCTCAGCCTATCGGGGGAGGAGGGACACTGCAGGGAGAGCTCTAGAAAGAACGTGTCACTTGGACCAAATCTTGAAGGTGGTTACCTGGAAGACAAGCGGGGAACAGACCATTCCCTACAGAGGAAAGAGATTATGCAAATTCTCATATATTCTGAGAGCTTCCAGGGAGAGTTAGGGCTGTCACTCATTGCGTATTGGTGGGCTCTTTTTCTCTCCTCAACTCCTACACTTCCTACCCTTTTGTAGTCTCAGCCGATGACCTTGGACCTCATCTTGTCCTTCATTAAGAAAATAGAAGCCTTCAGCTGGGGGGTCCCTTGTCTACCCACAACAACATCAACAAACCCACCTGCCTTCTCTCCTGTCTTCCCATCCTCCCTCCTGTTACAACTGAGCAGGTGCCCCTCTTCCTCTCAACGGGCTGACCTTCTACATGGGCTTTTCTGTTAAAACACACACACACACATGCGCTCGCACACAGACACACACACACACGTCCACACACACGTTGTGCTTTAGGTGAAAGTTTGCAGAGCAAATTAGTTTCTCATTAAACAATTAATACACGAAGTGTTTTGTGACGTTGGTCGCCAACCCCACGATGTGTCAACACTCTCCCCTTCTCCACTCTGGGTTCCCTGTTTCCATTCGTCCAGTTGTCCTGACCCTTCCTGCCTTCTCGTCTTTGCTTTTGGGCTGGTGTGCCCGTTTAGTTTGTATACATGGTTGAACTGCAAAGCACGTTCCTCAAGTGTGTTATTGTTTGCCCTACACCAAAAACAAACAAAACAAACAAACAAACAAACAAACAAAAAAAAACAAAACCCACAAACCTGTTGCTATCAACTTGATTCCGACTCACAGCAACCCTATAGGACAGAGTAGAACTGCCCCATAGAGTTTCCAAGGAGAGCCTGGTGGCTTCGAACTGCTGACCTTTTGGTTAGCAGCCATAGCTCTTAACCACTATGCCACCAGGGTTTCTGTTTGCCCTATAGACCTGTCTAATCATTGACTGAAGAGTGAACCTCAGGAGTGACTTCAGTACCGACTTAAAAGTGTGTCTGGAGGCCACACTCTTGGGGCTCCTTCAGTCTGTCAGACCAGCAAGTCTTGTCTTTTTCTGTGAATTTGAATTTTCTTCTACATTTTTCTCATGCTCCATCCAGGACCCTCTATTGTGATCCCTGTCGGAGCAGTCAGTGGTGGTAGCCAGGTGCCCCCTAATTGTTCTGGGCTCAGACTGGTGGAGGTTGTGGTAGTTGAGGTCCATTAGTCCTTTGGACTACTCTTTCCCTTGTGTCTTTTGTCTTCTTCATTCTCCTTTTCTCCAGCCTGGATGGGACCAGTAGATATATCTTATATGACCACTCACAGGCTTTTAAGGTCCCAGATGCTACTCACCACAGTTGGATGTAGAGCATTTTCTTTAGAAACTGTATTATACCGATTGAGCTAGATGTTCCTTGAGACCATCGTCCCCACAGCCCTCAGCCCAGTAACTCTGTTCCTTAGGGAGTTTGGAAGCTTCTATGACTCTGCCTTGGTCAAATTCCCCAGTATTGTACTGACTTCCCCAGTATTGTATACTGTCTTACCCTTCATCAAATTTGTCACTTATCTACTACGTAGTTAGTATTTTTCCCTGCCCACCTGTCCCCTCCCTTATAAACATCAAAGATTGTTTCTTTCTGTGTGCAAACTTTTTCTTGAATTTTTATAATAGTGGTCTCATACAGTATTTGTCCTTTTGTGATTGACTTACTTCACTTAGTATAATGCCCCCCAGATTCATCCATGTTGTGAGTTTCTTTTTTTTTTAGATAAGGTCATGGCTCATGTAGATTTGTTTGTTCTCTGAGCTTTTTTTATTTTTTATTTTATTGTACTTCAGGTGAAAAAATATGGAATGCTTCACAAATTTGCATGTCATCTTTGTGCAGGGGCCATGCTAATCCTCTCTGTATTGTTCCAATTTTAGTATATGTGTTGCCAAAGGGAGCACATGTTGTGAGATGTTTCGCAGCTTCATCATTGTTCTTTATGGTTGCATAGTATTCCATTGTATGTATGTACCATAGTTTGTTTATCCATTTATCTGTTGATGGGCTCTTAGGTTGTTTCCATCTTTTTGCTATTGTGAATAATGCTGCAGTGAACATGGGCGGGCATATGTCTATTGTGTGACAGCTCTTATTTCTCTAGGATATATTCCTAGGAGTGGGATTGCTGGATCGTATGGTATTTCTATTTCTGGCTTTTTAAGGAAGTGTCATATCATTTTCCAAAATGGCTGTACCATTTTGCATTCCCACCAGCAGTGCACGAGAGTTCCAATCTCCCCATAATGTCTCCAACATTTGTTATTTTCTGTTTTTTCTTGATTTGTGCCCGTAATATTGGAGTGAGATGGTATCTCATTGTAGTTTTGATTTGCATTTTTCTAATGACTAGTGATTGTGAGCATTTCCTCATGTGTCTGTTAGTTGGCTGAATGTCTTCTTTTGTGAAGTGTCTGTTAATATCTGTCATGGATTGAATTATGTCCTCCCCAAAATATGCATATCAGTTTGGTTGGGCCATGATTCCTGGTATTGTGCGATTTTCCTATATGTTGTAAATTCTGCCTCTATGAAGTTAATGAGGGAGGATGGGAGGAAGTTATGTTAGTGAGGCAGGACACAATCTACAAGATTGTATTGTTTCTTGAGGCAATCTCTTGAGATATAAAAGAGAGAAGTGAGCAGAGAGACAGGGGGACCTCATACCACCAAGAAAGCAGTGCCAGGAGCAGAGCACGTCCTTTGGACCCGGGGTCCTTGTGCGGAGAAGCTCCTAGTCCAGGGCAACATTGATGAGAAGGCTGACAGAGAGAGAAAGACTTCCCCTGGAGCTGGTGCCCTGAATTCGGACTTTCAGCCTACTTTACTCTGAGGAAACAAACTTCTGTTTGTTAAAGCCATCTACTTATGGTATTTCTGTTATAGCAGCACTAGATGACTAAGACAATATCATTCCCCATTTTTTAATTGGATTATTTGTCTTTTTGTTGCAGATGTGTTGGATTTTCCTATAGATTTCAAAGATTAGATCTTTGTTGGATATATCATAGCCAAAATTTTTTTCCCAGTCTGTAGGTTCTCTCTTTACTCTTTTGGTGAAGTCTTTTGATGAGCATATTTAATTTTTAGAAGATCCCAGTTAGCTAGCTTATCTTCTGGTGTTTGTGTATTGTTAGTTATGTTTTGCATCTTATTTATGCCATATATTAGGGCCCATAGCATTGACCCTATTTTTTCTCCCATGATCTTTATTGTTTTTGGTTTTATATTTAGGTCTTTGAACCATTTTGAATTAGTTTTTGTGTATGGCATGATGTATGGGTCCTGTTCCATTTTTTTACAGATGGACATCCAGTTTTGTTAGCACCATTTGTTAAAAAGACTGTTTTTCCCCCATTTAATGGACTTTGGGCCTTTGTCAAAGATCAGGTGGCCATAGGTAGATAGATTTACATCTGGGTTCTCAATTCTGTTTCATTGGCCACTGCGTCTGAGGTTGTACCAGCACCAGGCTGTTTTGACTACTGTAGCTGTATAGTAGGTTCTGAGGTCAGGCAGTGAAAACCCTCTTACTTTGCTCTTCTTCTTCAGTAGTGCTTTACTTATCTGGGGTCTCTTTCCTTTCCATGTAAAGTCAGTGATTAGTTTTCTGTTCTAAAAAATGCTGTTGGTATTTGGATCAGGATTGCATTGTATTAGTAGATTGCTTTGAGTAGAATTGACATTTTCCACAATGTTGAGTCAATCTATCTATGAGCGTGGTATGTTTTTCCATTTGTGTAGGTCTTGTTTGGTTTCCTCCAGTAGTGTTTTGTAGTTTTATTTGTATAGGTCTTTTATGTCCCTGGTTAGATTTATTCCTAAGTACTTTATTTTTTTAGGGGGTATTAAAAATGGTATCGCTTTCTTGACTTCTTTTTTGTAGTTCTCCTTATTGGTGTATAGGAATCCAATTGATTTTTGTATGTTGATCGTGTACCCTGCTACTCTGCTGAATCTTTCATTAGTTCCAATAGTTTTCTTGTGGAGTCTTTAGGATTCTCTATCATATCATCTGAGAATAGGGATAATTTTACTTCTTATTTACCAGTTTGGATGCCCTTTATTTCTTTTTCTTGCCTTACTGCTCTAGCTAGGTCTTCCAGCACAATGTTAAATAGGAGTGGTGTTAAAGGGAGAATGTTTTCAGCCTCTCTCCATTGAGAATGATGTTTGCTCTCGGTTTTATATAGATGCCCTTTATTATGTTGAGGAATTTCCCTTTTATTCCTATATTATAGAGAGTTTTTATCAGGAATGGGTGTTGGACTTTATATAATGTGTTTTTTGCATTGATTGAGATGCTCATGTGATTCTTTTCTTTTGTTTTATTTATGTGGTAGATTACACTGATTGATTTTCTAATGTTCAACCATCCTTGCATATCTGATATGAATCTCACTTGGTGATGATGCATTATTATTTTTTTAATAAGATGTTGAATTCTATTGGCTGGAATTTTGTTTTTGCATCTATATTCATGAGAGATATTGGTCTGTAATTTTCTTTTCTTGTGGTGTCTTTACCTGGTTTTGGTATGAGTGTTATACTGGCTTCATGGAATGAACTCAGAAGTATTGCTTCCTTTTGTATCTTCTGAAATAGTTTGAATAGTATTGGTGCAAGCTCTTCTCTGAATGTTTGATAAAATTTTCCAGTGAAGCCATCTGGGCTGGGACTTTTTTTTTGTTGGGAGTTTTAAAATTTTATTTTATTACCTTTTCAATCTCTTCTCTTGCTATGGCTCTGTTCAGATTTTCTACCTCAGTTTGTGTTAGTTTAGGTAGTGTGTTTCTAGAAATTTGTCCATTTCCTCTAGGTTTTCAAATTTGTTGGAGTATGGTTTTTCATAGTACTCTGTTATGATCCTTCTTATTTCAGTTGAGTCAGTTGTAATGTCCCCCATTTCACTTCTTATTTGGGTTATTTGCTTCCTCTCCTGTTTGTCTTTTGTCAATTTGGCCAATGATTTTTCAATTTTGTTGATCCTTTCAAAGAACCAACTTTTGCTTTTGTTGATTCTTTCTATTGTTTTTTTTAGTCTCCGTTTCGTTTATTTTTGCTCTGATCTTTATTATTTCCTTTCTTCTGGTGGCTGTGGTTTTTTTTTTTTTTGCTGTTCTCTTTCTATTTGTTCGAGTTTTAGGGCTAACATTTTGATTGTGTCCCTTTCTTTTTTGATGTATTTTGTCTATTGCCGTATATTGACCTCTGAACACTGCCTTTGCTGTGTCCCAAAGGTTTTGATTTGTGTTTTCATTCTCATTTGATTCTAAGAATTTTTTAATTTCATCTTTGTTTTTTTTCTATTACCCAGTGGTTTTTAAGCAAGGTGTTATTCAGTTTCCATGTTATCTTTTTTTTCCTTGCTCTTCTTGTTATTAATTTCTGCTTTTTTTGGCACTGTGATCAGAAAAGATGCTATATATTATTAGCTCAATGTTTTGGACTTTGTTGAGGGTTGCTGTGTGGCCTAAGATGTGATCTGTTCTGGGGAATGTTCCATGTGTGTTGGAAAAGAATGTATATGTTGCTGCTCTTGAGTGGAGTGTTTGATATATGTCTATGAGTTCAAGATGTTTGACTGTGGCCTTTAGATCTTCTGTATCTTTGCTGAGTTTCTTTCTAGATGTTCTGTCCTTTACTGAGAGTGGTATGTTGAAGTCTACTACTATTATTGTGGAACTGTCAATTTCTCTTTTCAGTGCTGTTAGAGTTCATTTTATGTATTTTGGAGCCCTGTCATTGGGTGTGTAGATATTTATTATGGTTATGTTATCATGGTGGATTGTCCCTTTAATCATTATGTAATGTCCTTCCTTGTCTTTTCTGGTGGATTTTGCCTTGAAGTCTATTTAATCTGAGATTAGTATTGCCACTCCTGCTCTTTTTTTGGCTGCTGTTTGCTTGATATATTTTTTTCGTCCTTTGATTTTTAATATATTTATGTCTTTGTGTCAGAGGTGTGTCTCTTGTAGACAGCATTTTGATGGGTCCCTTTTTTTTAAAATCCATTCTATCACTCTCTGACTCTTTATGGTGCATTTAAGCCATTTACATTCAATGTGATTATCAATAGGTGAGTTATTGTTGTCATTAGGTAGTGCTTTTCTTATGGTGCTGACCTTTTCTTTATTCCTCTTACTCTCCTGTGCCTAGTTCCTTTTGTTTGTGGAATTTCTTTTTGTTTCTTTTGTTATTATAGATTTTGTGTTTACTGAGACTATATTTTTCTTTTTTATTTTGATGAGTAGGTTTGTTAACTTTCTTTGTGGTTACTTTGAAATTTACTCTTATCTCCCTGAGTTTGAACCAGTCTTTTATTACTTGATATTGCCTTGACTTCCTCGCCATTTGAAACTTCTATACCTACACTGTTTATTCCTTTTTATTGTTATGACGTTGTTGTCATTTACACATTGACATCTCTGGTCCTTGTTTTAAATCTTTTATTTTATCCTTGAGAGTTCATTACCTAGGATGGTATCTTGCTGACACTGACCTGTGTCCTAGATTCAAGTCATTGTCTGATGTTGGTTCTTTAACTGAACGACTCCTTTTAATAATTTTTGTAAGTTTGGTTTGGTTTTTACAAATTCCCTTAATTTCTGTTTATCTGAAAATGTCCTGATTTTGCCATCATATTTGAGTGAGAGTTTTGCAGGATGTATCATTCTTGGTTGGCAGTCTTTTCTATTCAATGTTTTATATATGTCATCACATTGTCCTCTTGCCTGCATGGATTCTGCCAAGTAATTAGAGTTTAGTCTTATTGTTTCCCATCTGTATGTGACTTTCTGTTTTTCTCGAGCTTCTCTCAGGATTCTTTCTTTGTCTTTGTTTTTAGTGAGTGTGATTATGATATGTCTTGGTGACTTTCTTTTGGGGTCTATTCTATATGAGA